TGAAGAAATTGACTCTTGCAAAATGAACAAGTGACCAAAGACTCCCAGGGAACATAGAAAGCAGATACGGAAAACCTTTCTATTTTACCTCAGCAACACCTAAGCTCTTGGGACCACTGCACCAGCTGAACTAGCCCAGACACTGCTGAAAAACTGGTTCACGCCAGGAATTTATGCTGCAGCCAAGTAAACAACCATATCTTGCACACATTACCTTTAGCATTAATTAACATTTAGCAGAAACCTCACCAGAAAGTTTGTCTATATGTTTTTACTGCTTCTCTCTAAACTCCATATTCCCATCCTATTTTCTAGTGAGCTTTAATAACATGCCTGTCCTGAACCTCTCTGAGGATGCTTCTCAGCAATGTAAGAACTGTACAGGAGGGGATGGCCTATCAGAAACAGCACTGTCTGCATTCAGTGTGAAGCTCCCTTTAGCCCTGGTGCTGGGGGCAGAGTCCAGGGTACCAAAGGGGACAGCTCTCCTGCTCACCCCCAGAAGAAACTGTCCCTGTGGTCAAAGCTTGCTCTGTGTTTTCCCTCCCACCCTTAGTCCCACCAGGGGTGTCACAGCTGCCTTACTCAGCTCTGAACTGCACCACCAGATTCATTTGCTGGTTAAAAACATCTTTCTCTTGCTTTCTGTCTCCTGCAGCTGGTAAGTAACTATTGAGCCATGCTTAATGTCCCTGGCACATGAGCAGAGAATTTACACTACCCCAGCAGATGCCCAAATAAATGTGTAAGTAGCTTAATTATATATAGTCACTCAAACTTTTCGTAAGATAATGCTTACCTCCAAACCTTACCTCAGCCTCCACTTAGCTCAGGCCTGTTCCAGGGGTGTTTAAGCTTTCGGAGCTCAGAGGAGTTCCCAGCCAGACCCAATTAGAGATAACATCTCCCACTGCTGTTAAAGTGGCACCACCCAGTTTAAAGAAGTAGGTCTGAAAATTGCTACCCGAGGCAGAGACTTTCTTCAATTTGATGATGTGGCTACGTAGCCTCAGTTTCTACCAGAGTCATGTATTCAAACTGCTGTCTTGGAATTACTGGGGCGTTTTACCCACGTACAAGAGTGAGACACTTTAAAACACAGAAAATTCTAGATTTTTGTGGATCATATTTAGGGTAATAGCAACCATTTAAAGACTTAGCCAATTAAGTTTCTAGGCTTATTTCACTACTTCATAGTAGCCCAGGTTTTTATTTTTCAGTGCTGTATGGCACAGAAAGGATACCCAAAGTATGGGATAACAGTGCTCAATTATTTTGAAATACAATTTGCCAGTATCAAACTTAGTGATAACTTGGTATAAAAATAGATGAGCAGTTTATGTCACAACTCATCCTATGCCTTAAGGCAATAGCATTAATTTGGGAAATTGAGTGTATGTTGCTAATACTCAGTTAAAAATGAAATAAGCTATGATCTTCCTATGCTGTTTCCATTAAATGTTTTGCTATCTACATTTCAGACGAAAATACCAAAACTGAAAGTGGATGTAAACAGATGCAACGATGGCATAGCAGATGGAAAATGGGATTTGGGTGCCAGAACCCAGGTTCTCACCTCTAGCACAAACCCACGTATAACATTGGACATTACTTCACACCCCTGCAGCCCATGACAGTACAGCTAATCTAAAGATCTGTTCACAGAAGCCACACTGTTATCAAAATTGTATTTTAATTTGTATTTAAAGCCATGGATGTAGTAAAACATCACCACAGGATGGGAATCTCAGGACAAAAATCTCTAGGTAACTATCTTGAAGAAATCCCTCCAAAGCTGCTACTTTCTTTTTTCTTCACAGTCAGAGTTTTGTTATGGTTTTTCTGCCTGGCAGTTGTGGCAGCCTCTTCTACAGGATACATTTCCATCAGAGGTTTCTTGCAAATTTGTAATTTATGTGCATCAAAGCTGGATAGTGTCAGCAAAAAGCAACTGTTTGGTGCTTCTTTACACTTTGCCCAATTCTAACTCTCTCTCAGGTTCATCATTTAGTGA